AGCTGTATTTTAACCCCTTAGTGACCGTATCATGTACGTCCGACAAAAAATGGTCCTTAAGGACCACGGACATACCTGATACGTCCGCAGGGAATTAGAGCGCTGGAAGCGATCATGATCGCTTCCAGCAGCTCCAATGGTATTGAAGCAATGCCTCGAAATAACCCGCCTCACTGCCTGGCTGCCTCACTTCTGGGTTGCTCCACGTGGAGCCCGGCAGTGAGGCAGAGCATCAGAAGCCATCAGGCAGGCTTCCGATGCTCTGTCTGTACTGAGAGCCTTGAGGGGTCGAGGCACTCAATGAATAAACATTAAAAAAAAAATTTTTTTACAAGATGTAAGCCCTACCCTCTCCCTCTCCATGTGCTTACCAATCACCGCCATTCCCCTGCCGGGGATTGGTCTTCTTTTTGGGAGGGAATGTCTGGGCTCAGCCCAGACTGTCCCCCTCTGCAATTTAGGATACCTAGGGGACATGTGACCACTCTAAAAGTGCTGCGAGCAGGGGGACAGCCTGAGCTGACAGGCAGTCCCCCTGCTGGTGAAAAAATAAATAAAAGATAATACATTTAAAACAAATATATGTATTTTTTATTAATATATACATATAGTAATAAAAATTACACTTGGAGTAAAATTACACACACATATATATAATAACTATATATATATATATTATAGATTATAAAACAAATAATTAAAAATAAATAAACTAAAAATAATTTTAAAAAATTATATATATATATATGTAATTTTATTCTAACTATTTTGATAATATATATATATATATATACACATATACATATATTATATCAAAATACACTTAGAAGGACATTACATATATATCTATGTATATCCTCTTAACGACCGTGGATGCATTACGTACGTCTAACCAAAAAATGGTCGTTATGGACTGCGGGCGTACCTAGTACGACTGTGGCAAATAGGAGCCCTGGACTTGTGATCTGCGGCGATCATGGTCAGGGAGGACTGCCAGAGACCCTAACAGTCCCCCTGCAGCATCTCCTGCCACCCGGCCCTCCAGGGCCATGTGATCACAATGATCACATTGCCGCAATAGGAGTCTAGGAGCTCCCAGCAGGGGGACTGTCTGAGCTGTCAGACAGTTCCCCAGGCTGCTAAAAAGTAAAAAAATAATATAATACATATATATGTTATTTTAAAAACAATGTATTATTTATTGTTTTTTCAGTGTGTGGGCGGGAGGGGTTCGTCTTTTTGTTTGTTTGTTTTTTAAGTGCGACGGGTATTATGTTTTTTTTTTATTTGGCCTTTTTTGTGGCTAAAAAAAAGAAGATTTTAGAAAAAAGACGACATCAAATGGCAAGTTTTATTTATTTTTTTACAGGTACTTATTTATTGGTCCCCCCCTTGCTATTTTAAGGGTGAGGGGGGTAGGTAGGGGATTATTAATTTTGTTTGGGAGGTGGGTGACTAGGGGTTTGGGCACCCCTAGTCACCTGGGGGGGTAACATTTTTATTTAGGGCCCCCATCCGCCGCTCAGGGGGTGGGGAGGACAATAGGTCTGTCCCCCCTTATTGGTATTCAGGACCCCCACCCACCGCTCGGGCGTGGGGGCCAGGGGGGAGGACAATAGGTCCGTCCACCCTTATTCTAATTTTGGGCAGGCTGCTCACTGTTTACTAGACATGCTCCTACTCTCGGCATAGTGAGTAGGGTCAGAATTTACTAATACTAAGTAATTTTACTTAGTATTAGTAAATTTGGCAGAAAGACCAATTTAGGTCTTTCAGCCTTTTGGTAGATAGCTAGGGAGTACGGTGGGAATTAGGGAGTTATCTACTTACTCATTCCCATCCATTGACTGGCTAAGTAACTTACATTTTATATGAATGTGTTACTTGATTGTTGTAAGTATTTCAAATGCTTACAGCTGAATCCTGGCTATTTTGTATACTATTTATTTAAACTGCTATACAGTGTAACATTCTTCATTCTTCCACAGGGCATATTAGTACTTCGGCAATCCTGTGCTTCAGAACTTTGGAACTTCGGCACTTCAGAAATTCAGCATTCGGAACTTCTGAACCTTGGCAATTGTCCAAAATTCGTCCGAATTGACATTTGGAACGAAAAACAAATTGCACATGTCTACTGTTTAACTAGATAAGAACGCTTAAGGCAGTCTCATGAGTTTCTGTTACTATGTATGGTGAATTCGCATGGCCTAAGAAAGCCATAATAGGCCAAGTAGATAGCTGTTTTGATGACTGAATTTGTGGCATGTTCGGAAGGGGTTGTATCTAATAAGTCCAACATATCCTTAAATATTTGTTTGTGAATGTGTAACCTTTGAAGTGGAGTATTGTTACTGGCTTTGTGTATGCCTTTCAGTATGTTCTTGATAGGGTAGGAAGACAAAAAACTAGGGTTGTTTGGATATAATTTATACATGTGGTGTTGAATGCCAGTTAAATACAGCTTAATAGTGTTGTCCCAGGTAAACAATAGGACGGCCAAGTTTGTCCTTGCCTGATCCGTCGGTTCTTGTATGTGCCTCTTGGAAAGTCATAGGTGTGGAAGGTGGGACAATAATCTGAGGCATGTGAGGTGGATGCACAAATTGCACAAGCTGGTGTCTTAAGTCTGGCAAAGTACCTGCAAAACAGCTCAGTGTCCATTCGGCTCCAGTCAGTTTTTTTTTTTTTGTTTTTTTTTTAAATTCTTTATTTTTCACATGCTTCTTTTGACAAAAAGTAGAACATTTGCATTGAGTCTACTTGCGTTTCGGTCCCCAGATAAGGCGTGGGGGGGACCACAATGTTGATGATAGGCATGACTCATGGTTTGCTGTCACCCGGGATGATGGGTCCGAGAGGAGGTGTCAAAGCGCGAACAGCCCAAAAGACCGCTACACAGGAACTAGAGGAAGCGTGACTGGAAGTCTCGACAGGCGCGGACCGGAAGTGATCGTATGCCGAGCGTCAGACCACTATGATGATGTAGGTAAGGGGGGATGGGAGTCCCTTAAGTAGGTCCCACATGCCCCTCCCACAACTCCAGGCAAAGCCTTCCCATATATATAATATAAATTGGGGAAAAAACCATTAAAAAACAAATAAAAATGCTAAAAGTGCAGTTTTTATGTAAAAAAATGCAAAAAACTAATAAAAATGCTATCTTTGACCAGTGTTTGTGACTAAGTGGCTACTACAAAAGACTGGAAATACCCCATTTGGGATACCCTGGGTTATCTACATTTGAAAATGGTATGCCATGATGGGGTTATTTCACATTCCTGGGCTACCATATGAGCTCAAAAGGCAACACAGACCCAGCAAACCAATCTGGCAAACTGAATTGGGCAAGCCCTATATTGACCCTATACCTTTTCAAAATACCATAAAGCTTGTACATGGGGGATATTGTTATACTCAGGAGACTTCGCTGAACATAAATATGAGTGTTTAAAACATGATGAAATTGCCAGTATAAGTGCATTTTTTTGTGTAAAAAAAAAAATGCAAAAAACTAATATAAACACTATCGAATATATACTGTTGGAAATAATTCGTCCACATATGAATGTGGGCTGTGTATGGGGGCTGCTTGTAGAATTGTGTGTGTGGATGGATATGTCACATTGTGTGTTTGGTAGTGTGTGGGGGCTGTTTGGGGTATTGCATGTGAGAGGCTGCATGTGGGATTGTGTGCATGTATGTGGATTGTTAGTGGTGTTGCTTTTGTGCGGATTGTGTGTGGGCTGTCCATATTATTTGTATGAGGGGAGGGTTATTCTGAATTTCTGTGTATATCTAGCAGTGTGGGTGGTTTCCTTTGGTTCCAGAGGGGACCAGGCCAGCCAGGTACAGGTCAAGGACATGACTGGCGCACAGTCAGATTTGCCGGCATATGCACTAACCTTACCCTAACCCCCATTAAAACACGGACACAGGTTATACTGTTGGAAATAATTCGTCCACAGCTTTATTAAATTATTAATAAAATAATTAAGGAATAACAAATGGGGTCATTGCCAACAAATCTTAACAAATAACATCCCCCATATACATAACATACCCCTAGCAATGACCCCACAATAATAACAATAGATAACAATCTAAATAACATGTTAATACAGAAACTGGCCGCCCAATTTGACCACATTTCCACCAGGTTAAATTGTACCGAGACACCACTACCCACCATATCGATTGTAGGGGTGTACCAAGACACCGCTACCCACCATATCCATTGTAGGGGTGTACCAAGACACCACTACCCACCAGTTCCAGTGTAGGGTGTACCAAGACACCACCACACCCCCAGGTTCGGAGCCACCGACGAGCTCGAAACTACCAATCACGTGCAACAGTGCCCAATCCACACTAAACCTCAGGATGCCCACTTTCTCCTCCATTTACCCTCCGATTTAACCAGGCCATTCCCCGCCGCTGTGAAAAAATGGGAAATCAACTAACCTAACCAAATACAGGGAGGGTGGGAGGGACAACTGACAGGTAAGCTTAGGTTCAGTTAAGATGGCCACTTCCTATAATGGCTGGTATAACTACTCCCCTTTTGGCTCTGCCCTACCCAGCATGCTGGCTGCCACTAACTCCCTGTGGCTGCTATGTCTACCTCCTGGCTCTGTCAAGGCCTATTCCTCTTAGCTGCGTTGATCCATGGGCTACAAAAGCTGCAACAACAACTGCGAGCTGCTCTAATACTGTGTGGATTCCCATTCACAAGTGCTGGAATGAAGTGCTCTGAGATCACTTCCTCTATGTGCTGCAATGCATAAATTGAGGATTGTCCTTCACCACCTCTTCGTTTTAGCAGATATCTGATGTTTTCCTGGGACTCCTGATAGGCCAGAACCTGTTTGGCTCTAGCAGCCTTGAGTGCCGTGCAAAGGCACCTCGAGTGCCATGCATGGCACTAGTGCCGTAGGTTGCCTACCCCTGGTCTAATTAATATATATGAATGCTACTCTAGTACTCTAAGCGTGATATTTTATAAAATTAAATGTGCTGACAACTCCGTCATGATATTGTATACCAATGTAAAGCTTGTACTCGCTGTCGTGGCGCTACAGGCCTGTTTGTAAAAGTATGCACAAGAAAAATAAAGAATTTTAAAAAAAATATCACCATTTGAAATACCCTAGGGTGTCTACTTTTCAAAAATATATGGTTTGATGGGGGTAAATTACATTGGCCGGCTTCAAAAATGTCCCAAATAGGACATGGGTGGATGATGAGCAGCTGAGAAAATTTCAAGATGGAAAACTGGAATGCGCACCCTCCAAATAAGGTCTTTTAGCCACCATAGAACACTACACACCTATACATAGGGGGTATTACTGCACTCAGGAGATGTTGCTGAACACATATCGGGGTGTTCTTTGGCAGTAACTCTTAAAGTTCTCCATACATGTATTTTTAAATTACTATGTGTGTCAAAAAAATCACCAGTTATTTATTTATTTTTTAATTTGGCATAGATTGGTGGTAAAATGGTTGCATGAAAATAGTCAAAATACCCCAAATTTAATACCTTAGGTTGTGTTCTTTTAAAAAAAATATATGCATGTGAAGGGTTATTCAGGGATTCCTGGCAGATATCAGTGTTACAATGTAACTTGCGTTAAGTTTGGGGGAAAAAATGGTTTGGAAATAGCAAAGTGCTACTTGTAAATATAGCCCTATAACTTTCCAAAAAAAAAGCTAAGAACATGTTAACATTGGGCATTTCTAAACTCAGGACAAACTTTTGAAACTATTTAGCATGGGTGTTTTTTGGTGGTTGCACATGCGTAAAAGATTTTGCGGGTCAAGTTTAGAAAAAGTGTGGTTTTTTCTTTTATAGTAAATTATATAATATGATGAAAATAATGTTATCTTTAGAAAGACCATTTTATTACGAGAAAAACAGTATATAATATGTGTGGGTACAGTAAATGAGTAAGAGGAAAATTACAGCTAAACACAAACACTGCAGAAATGTAAAAACAGCCCTGGTAAGAAAATTGAAAAATGGTCTTTGTCACTAAGGGGTTAAACTGGGCAAAAGTTACTTTCCCATCTCCCTGTGTAATGTGGATGGCAAACAGTTTAAAAGATTCAGGCAAACTTTTCAAATTAATTTAATATTTCTCCAGCATTTCTCAGTGCTGGAATAGCTGTCTCTGCATGTATAATATAATCTGTCACACTCTCATTTACAGACTCCTGAAGATATGATAGTTTAGTGAATAAACTAATTACACAGGGCTTTCCTTTACCTGCATAATAGTCTCTTAATATTTTAAGCGCTTTTCTTCCATCTATAGCTGCTACTCTCATAATCAGAGACAAACTTTTATCATCTAAAAATTGAATTAATTCAACATGTGCTTCCTCATTCCTACTGTGATCTTCATCCTCACCTTCAGTGTATGTAGATACACTTGGGATGGTTTCTTTGAGTTTCAGCAACCTCAGATGTCCCAAGAATTTAGTCTCCCAAACTTCATAATTCTTTTCATCTCCATCAAAGCATAGCCTGCTCAATCGGTTTCCTGCATCCCTCCTGGGCCCTTAACCTGTTGCCATTTTTTATATTTTGGGTTGGATAATTGGGTATATAAGAATAACCTTATATAAAAAGGAGGGGAAAAAATCACACAGGTACTTCTTGCTTCTGTGTCTTTATTTTAATTAACACTGCTTCTGCTTCCTGTTTCAGGAGGAAAATGAGGAGTAACAACAAACTTTATATACACTCTTTTTACCCATACAATGTATAATTAAAGTTACAGCACTATGAGAGCACTTTTAGTTTATATATCTCAACACTAACAATAACAACATTTCTAAATTATATTATCACGTGTTATAATTATGCAATGACAATTGTGTGAATAACACGTAAAGCAATATATAAATAAATACTTTCCATTAGCAACAGTTATTTCAGGATGTATATATAGGTCTGGGGTCTCTGGTTCCAACAAAGAGACACCACTCTTGATGGAGTCCTCTCCAGATATAATCCTGGAACGTTCCATTCAGGTTTCCATGGATTTGGAACAAAGCCTGCACAGCTCCTGCATCCATGTCCTTGCATCCAATTCCAAGTCCATGCCTACACAGCCCTGTAGTTACTGCCACAAAGATCCAGAATCCCTTTCACTGGCCAAGAGTCCTTTTCACTCCTTCCTGTTACGAAGTTGCTGTTACTGTTACAAAGATCGTGAATCCCCTTCACTGGTCAAGAGCCCTATACATTTTCACTCCATCCTGCAGTCTTGCTCAGGACTACCTCCTCATAATCTTTTATACTTTTTTTTTTATATATACACAAGTCAGGTTGCCATAACAGAAAGCTGTGTTTGGCAAAAGTAGCAAGGGTAAACTTTAACTGCTAATTTTAGTGTGTGCAGTTTGTAACCATGACCATCAGCTGGTATATTTCAGTTATAACTCAGTTGCCAGCCAAGCTTACTCTTACAAATCAACTACCAGTTCTCAATACCAGCTGACTGACTATAATATCCTAGGGCTAGGAAACCAAAAATCTCTAAAACTGTGAAAGACTTGTAAATCTGTTTGGATTTACTAGTAGCTTTGCTAGGATCCAGGGGCAATGTATTGACCAAACGGTAACTAGTACAGATTTTTATCAAACCATATACAGATAATGTTTAAATGTGATTTGGGGCCAGTAAAAAGTGTTACAAGAGGGATGGTGTGGGTATGATGGAAAAGCTGAAAATCATTACATTATTGGCATGTCAAGCATGTGTCATGTGTGCCTGGACACACCCTATTGCAGATTGCGCTCAGTCAAGGCTGTATAAAATTGCCATTCCTAAAGCACAATGGGAACTTTATCACAGAATACTGGAAAGTCCTGTGTTCTCTCCAGGCAAGTGTCAAACTGTTCAAAATGGCTTGACTATATTGGGACAGTACAAGGGGACTCTGAGCACCATAACCACTAACCACTAGAAAGCACTGTAATAAATATGGGCTTAGCGTGCCCCTATAAATTAATATTTGCATTGGTTGTCTTCTTTAAATATCTTGGCATGTTAGTGAAGATTCATCTAAATTCCAAAAATAAGTACTCTGTTCAGAAACTAAGCCTATGGCAAAGAAATAGAGTGTAAGAAAAATGCTAATACCCCATTTGTTCCGGGAGTGGAACAGGACTCTGTGACTTGACCACACAAGTGTCCACCTTTCCTGCCCAGTTTACTTACCCTCTACTCTGTTTGACCTGTGAATTTTGCGATTTATAATTTTAATTTTGTTTTGCCAAATTAATTTTTGAAAATGGCACTGCTTATATGATGCTGTCAACGGGCACAGCTGCAATTTAATATTACATTGTGAAGCTTCTGCCTTATGTGGGCGTATTTGTTATTCACCGTTTTACTGTCCATTCCCCCCGATCCTCCCCATTCCCCATCGGTTAAGGGGGTATATAAATCTCTCTCTAGAGGCTTGGTTCATAAATATTTGTCAATCACTCCCTGTCACTAACAACAGCTTTGCCTTACAAAATTTGTCGATCCGAACCAGTTTAGCTGGACCAAGTTTATAAGGGTTGCTCATATATTTTATATCGGTTATTTCGCTCTCATTCCCATAAGAGTGGTGTCTATTTTACTTCCTTCATTTGCCGGTTTTATTGTGTTTATAATTCTGACCACCTATACATGTTCTTCATGTTCATTTATTTCTAAAAATAAATAAATGTGCAGCTCATTATGACATATATTATTGTTTTTTTTTCTTTTTTTGTTATGAAATCATGATTACGCATATGATCTATGTCATTATTACTCTGTGTACTGTACTGCAAAATAATGTAAATATATTTTTTTAAATGCTAATACCAGTTATTGAATATAAAGAGGTAGTATATGCAAATGCGACACCAATCCGTCTCTGTAAACTCAACACTCCTGTACATGTGATCACATAGCCCATCATTGTGATATGGTAACGGAAATAAATGTGATAACATTTTAATGTTCAAATTGCCTTTCTTCCCTGTTCTATTACCACTTCTCTGGAAACCTCCAGGGCTTGAATTATACTTTCTTTCCAGCTACCTCCACCACTTAGAAGTTATGTTTCACTCCCACCATCTAGCATTTCACTCAATATGGAAATAAAGGCTTCACTTCCCTGCATAGTTCCCATCTGTGTAATAACCTTTACAGAATAGAAAAACGTTTTTTCCACCAAATCAAAATCTGAGAAAAGTACTGCCTATTTATATCTACTAACATACCGGAGGCGTAATAATTGGTAAAGAACTCTCCTAGTATCATAACTATTCCAGCTTAATGCTGTTTAATAGCCTTTGTAGCACCTAAATCATATTAGCTTCCTTTGTCAAGGGATGCTTAGTCAATTTGACACTGTTGCTGAGATAAGCGTCAGTTTAAAGCAGCCAAATCCTGCTAAGTTGCTAACCCCTATATTTTGGACAGATAATGAGGAAGTGAAACTTTATTATCAAGATGGAGGCAGTTAGTGTACTTTGGGTTCCTGGAAGACCCCTGAGACTTCACCCACAGACTCCTTGCACTCTGGTCGGTACATGGTTATAGTTCTTGGAATGTCCCTTTAATGCTTCATTGGTTTTGTACACATTTGTTCTGTATGTGTAACCTTTTATTTTTTTTTATTTGAGGGGCAATCTTAAAAACAATATCTTAATGTATTCTTCCTGGTAAAATATTTCCTCAGGTAATAAGTAATAGTAGGCAATGGAAAGAACCAGTAAAGTCTGTTTGCTTCAAACCTTCCTGCTTCCAACCAGGCAGTGGACTCTGAACACTTTCGAAACCTTTGTGTCCACTATATCACATACTGAACCTTTTCCACAGTAATTTCTAGACAATGACCTGGATATGTCAGAAATGTCAGTGGAAAGGAGTAATAAAATTGAATTGGTTAGAGAGTTCAATATTAGACATATGGACCTGGTGGTATATGAAATTGGCAAATGAATCTGCAAGGTTCTGAAACAGCCATATATATCTTCGAGAAATTATTATAGGGCAACCGCCTCTAATCAATTTTTTGTATTATGTTTACTTTATCCATATATGTATGCAACAAATCTGCATACAATTTTGCATTAAGCTTTAACTTTCCTCCATGGAAACTATTGAGATGATTCAGAAGGTTTTGGGGACGATGCAATGAGTGCAGTGCAAATAAAACTTCAAAGATGGTCGAGAATCTGTTGTAAGATTTGGCGCCCTATGACTTCTGGCTTTTCCCAAATCTAAAATCACCTTTGAAAGGGAAGAGATTAAATACTGGTGATGAGATTTAGGTAAATACAACAAGGCAGGTGAAGGCATTTGCAACCAAAAATATTGCAGAGTGTTTTGAACAGTGGAGTAGATGCTGGGGAAACTGTGAGGTCCCAAAGTGCCTACTTTCCTATGTACAATGTTTCTTGTATCTTGTATCTTCTTCAATACATGTCTCTATTTTTCATATTACCTGGCTGGATACATTCCGAACAGAACTCGTACATTTAATAGAAAATTGTGCATTTCTTGAACAAAATGTTTTCAATATTTTGTTTGATTGTGTAATTCTACAGAAGTGTCAGCTCCCCTCAGGGGCGGAACTACTGCAGGTGCAATGAACAGGGTCCACCAGCATTTAGGTGCTTTTTCTTGGCCACCAATCAGGGGAAGGAGAGGAGTCATAGTCCACCACAGAAGTAAACAGAGAGTACACACAGGTTGCCTTATTACTATCAGGCAAGGTCCCATGAGCAGCAGGAAGCAATGGAATCTGAGCATGTGCTGCCTTCCTCATGGGATGATGGAGAAAGCAAATGCTACAACCTGCTCTCAGTGTAGCCTCAGGCTGTCAACATAAGAATAAGTCATCCTCTGTAGAAGATGAGTGAGTCAACCTGTCTGTCAGAAGAAAGGGAAAAGGACTGTGGCGTGATTTCTTTGTTACAGGCTGTTTGTTACCACATGGTACATGGGGCCCTGCTGAGCCACCTGGGCAGAAATATGACAGGGACTAACACTTTATGAGCCAGGGGAGGACTCTCCTGCATTGTGTGGATAGCAAAGAGAATGAGAACTTGGACTTTCTCTCTTTGGGGGGGAAGGAATGGAATAATTGGAAGAGGAATGGGGCCATCTATTTGGGGGAGGGTGGGTGTTAATTGACAGGGTGATGTGCCAGTCTAAATTGGGAATGGAGGGCAGCTGTGCAAAAAAACTATTTGGGAACAGAAAGAGTTCATCGGCAGGCACATATGGCAAAATCGAATATGGACAAAAAGAGGGTTAATTGTAAAATGTGTCAGTATAAATTGGGTATTGAGCTTGTGAACTGGCTTGGGGGTATAGGGCCTTGTAACTACAGAGTCCCTTAATTGAAACATAGAAACATAGAATGTGACGGCAGATAAGAAACCTTCGGCCCATCTAGTCTGCCCAAAATTGGGAACATTTTGGCAATTGGGAACATTTTGGAGGAATTAGAGGTTAATTTTCTAGAGTGGTAGAGGCCCCCCAAAAATATCCAGGGCCCCTGTTCATTAGTTGCGCAACTAGTTCCCCGTTGATTTGGCTCTAGGATCAGGGTATTAGAAGTGACAAAATGGCCATAGCTCTCATTTGCAAAAGTATTGACTTAGGGCATGAACACTTTCAAAATGTTTTATGCTGTGCTTAAATCAAATATTAAACATGCAAACAAAATCCACTTTAATTCTAGTTTGTAACATTTTAAAATGTGAAACCATCTAAAGGGAGAGTAAACACTTACACAGTACATGTACTAGCATATAATAAACGCAAACACATATTTAAATATAACTAGAAAATTCCTTTCTCATGTACAGTGCCTCAGTGAAATGTTATCTTGCACACTTGATAACTTACATGCACCCTTGGACTTTGTGTCCTGGCTGATCAGCACGCACAAACCAAAAATAGGTACAAACTATTGTCATTTCCACCATCATCACCACATACTTGGAAGTATTGACAAGCATATCTGTATAACTCTAGCCTCCAACAAAGCAAAAGGTCAAATGAAGAAAGCTTTATTTTACCTCTTAGACACTACTAGTACACCAAGCTTATGTTGTGTTAAATATGCATCATTTAAATTTCTTAAATATATATATTCTTTCGAATAATAAAAAAAAGAACTCTAGACTAGATAAAGAATATTGTAACTGTCAGTATAGTTATAGAACAGAAGAAAGGGATCAGCGCTCTCTATCTATACAAAATACAACAGAAACAATAATAAATAAGTAAAAAGTGGCAGCACACCTAAAAAGTAGGGCTCCCTCACAGGCCTTACAACAGAAATGGTACAGAAAAAAGAAAGGAAGGCAGCGCCACTATAAACCACATAAATTAAAAGAGCACAGAATAGGCAGACTAGAATACAATATATATGATAGATACTAAGCAAAATAGAAGTCCAGAATAAATAGTCTGACTGGTAGATGAATCAAACAACGAGGTATATCCTTGTAGAGGTGAATACAGTCTTTTGTAGTGGGGGATTCTTCAGAGTGGTGTAGATGCGTCTTTGTACATCATATGAAATGAGAAAATAACAACTGATGGTATAGTATGTCCCGAAAGGGGTAGAAGCAATAAAAGAGTATATGGTCCTACTCACGTTTTCAAGAGCTATGGACTTAGCTCTAGTGTTGATAACGTACAGTGGTATAATCCCCACTTATGGGATACGTGAGGTCTTAGTATTCTTTCTTGATTAGGGGACCATATGTGGAAATAAAAGCAGGAACAACAATGGTGCTCAAAGTATAAAATGCCAGAGGTGAGAAGATAAAAAACCAAGTGGTTACTCACATTTAGTTGAACAGACTGACTGTTCAATGAATACAGCTTGAGTGGTATAATCCCCACCTAGGATTCTTGGGAGTAATATCCTCACTGGAAAGTAAAAACACTTCTGTGCCGGATAAAAGGATGGTAGTAATAAAAAAGTAAAATAATAATAGTAATAAAAAGTAAGATGGCTAACTCACAGTAAGAAAGTGGCCAAAATACCTTTATTTAAAACAATATAGTTTAAAAAACCACAACGCGTTTCGCCCTTAGGCTTTATCAAGTGGAGATCAGAAAGTACATCCTGTTACATACAGGTTTATATAGGCAGTGAACATATTAGAAAATGGCGCCAAAATGATGTCATAATTTTTTTTTATTTTTTTTTCTCAAAAGTGCTAAATTTTATATGTGTAAGTGAGTACATACCTATATGTAAAACATGTGATAGTTTAAAATTAAAAACGAGGTTTTAAACTCACAATACCTTACATATTTTATTTAGATACAACAGTCACATGATCGGTGGCCATTTTTTTTTTTTAAGTGCTAAACTTTATATGTATCAGTGAATACAAACCTATATTGGAGACATGTGATAGTCTAAAATTTAAATCAAAAACAAGGTTTTATACTCACAATACCTTGCATATTATTTAAATAGAACAGTCACGTATATAAGTCACATTGTATAAATATGTACTTCATGCACAAAATAATTATAAAAGATAATAAAATATAAGAAATATATTATAAAAAATTAATTATAAAAATTATAAAAAATTATAAAAAATTAAACAGGTCGAACTCTACATTAAGACCTTCGGGGGTAAGGGTTTTTAAAAGGAACACCCAGTGCATTTCTTTTTGTCCCAGTAATTTTTTGAGGTCAC